AGTTTGAAACAGCATTTTACAACATCTTATGATCTTAGAAAGTTGTGTGTGTTTAATATTTGAATGCATAAAAAATGATTTTTATTTATTTATATTGTTTTTACCAAAGCACCGATCCAGAAGGGATAAACTTCTGTTCGTTGTGGACCAAGTCCAACGTTGAACACACCAACCAGGATCTCTATCGTCTGTATAAAATCACCAAAATAAAAGCACAAAGAGGTCAAACTTTTTTTTTAAAGATGCAACATTTTAAATGTTTCTCACCCCGAGAACTCTGACTGCACTGCTCCTCATCAGTCCTGAGTTCACAGACCAGCACGTTGGACCGGACCCAGTCATGGTGACGATGGTCACTCTCGTCTTTAAGAACAATTAAATTATACATCTTTTTAGCTTCAACATTTTATTTGTTTCCTTTGTCCTAATGTGAATAAAACGTGAGTTTGAAACATCTTCTACATATCCACATGACACTTTCAATAAATATATTAAATATTAAGAAATGCAATATATTTCCTGTTTTAATGTTTATTTTGTTTAAGTCGGAATCATGAGAGCTGGATCCAGATGAATATTTAAAATATGGAGAAATCTTAATATAAATCAAGACTAACATAGTAAAAAAAACAAAAATACATTAAATTTAAAACATTATAAAAACATCCATGTAAAGTATATCACTGCTTATTTTGCAGATAAACACAATAAAAAGGTTAATTCTTATGAATGTGTTGGACAGAGAACCTACCTGCTGAGGCGCCTCCTGTCTGTAAATCTTTACCTTTTTCATCACGAGTTCAGGCAGCAGAAACTGAACACCTGCTTCACCTCGCTGTTCTTTCAAATTAAAAGCATCAAAGACAAGAAATTAGACTGATTACTTCTGATTAACACATGCGATGTGTACAATCATAGAAATTAAATCTCAATCTGACATCATTTCTAACACATCAGTGAAAAGTTTTAGTGCCTTGATATTTAAATTTGGGTTTAATCTTCAAAAAAAGCTGATTATTTTAAAAATAATTTTAATATGAAAAGATCAGTGTGAAAATGTTGCTGTCATCTGCTTTTATAACCTTTATTTTAAATAAATGGAGGACTGAAACTGTCATAATTAGAAATAAAATCAGAAATATATAAATGGACCAATAAATAAATATTGCTAAAAAATGAAACAATGTAAATGTGTATTCATACAAAATGATATCTAATAGGGATTTGGGATTGTTTTTCTTTAGTTTTTGTTGTTTAAATTTATTTTTTTGAGAAATAAGGCGCAGATAGTATAAGATTGTTTTCTTCTTTCTTTTGCCTTTCATTTTATTTTTGTGATTTGTGTTTTTTATTGTACATAAATTTTGTTGTTTTTAAAAGAAATGAAATGAATCAACATAAAAAATAAATAAATACACTATATAATGCACTAATTAAATTTTAAAAAGGAGAAATTTACCACATGTTTTATCATTTAATTAACCTTCATATTTATTTCTCCAGATTAGTTCCAATAGTTTAGTGCAGGTAAGTGTTTTCCTTCTTGCCTTTGTTTTAAACTAAACTTGAAGTTAAACTGAGGCAGCAGCAGTAGATCTGCACATCCTTCCTGTCTGTTGACCAATAGGAGAGGAGCTGACCCAAGAAGCTCCGCCCACCTTATCCACATAATGAGGCAGAAACACATAAAGTAAAAACAGGCGAAAGAGAAATGTAAAAGCAACACATGGAAATAAAGGAACTTGTGAGAAGAAATTATAAAAATATGATTAAATATAATCATTTAAAAGATGCAAGTACAAGTAAAAGGAAAAATAAAAAG